TGTGGCACAAGCAAATGACCCTGACATTATAATGCATGACTGTTTACTCTTCCAGTGTGCTACCCAGTAATGGATAGATAAGTAGTTATAGATAGGTGATGAATGACAGATATCTAATAGATGCATAGGTAATAGATAATATAGATAGAGGGATACAAATATGAGAAAACAGATATTTGACAGGAATAATGTAGTTGTCATATTGCTAAGCAACTAATACTCATCTCTCATTATCAAGATAGATCCCTGGAAACTGACATCCTTCAGCTCTTATTTTCCTAGCATTTTCCATCCTGTCGTTGAGTTGAGTATAATGTGTCAATCAGAAACCACACCAGCAACTTGAACAACAGACATTATATATAAAGGGTTACTAACCGAGGGGATGGGCCTCTGAAGAGAGTCAGGAGAACTCTAAAGAACATGAGAATGCCAACTCAGGGAGTCATCATTGCCTCCAGGCTGACATGAGCCCCCAAAGAAACGGACTTGGAAGATGTCCAGGGCCCTTCTCCACGATGGCTGGTGCACTGTATCCTTTGCTTTTAAAATCAAAAATTAGGCCAGGAGTAGTGGTGTGTGCCTTTAATGCCAGCACCTGCAGAGGCAGACAGATCTCTGTGAGTTCAGGGCCAGCCTGGTCTATCTAGAAAATTCCAGGTCAGCCAGGGCTACACAGTGAGACCTTGTCTCAAAAAATTTTTTTTGTTTACATAGAGGACTGTCTCTCTGAGTCTTTGGTAAAAACATTCCTTCCTCTGGAGTAAGAACTTTGCACCGAGGAAATAGAACCAAGGGGACCCAATCCTTCGAGGCTTCCCTGCGCATGCCCTCATCCAGGCTGTCTCTCACTGGCGAATCGCCTGCCCCTTCCAGTCCTCCTCACTTTACTTTCCCCGCAGACCCTCCTGCCTACCAACTATACTATCAATACAGTCAATACAGTTCGCTATTTGTTTCTATGTTGAAAATGAGCTCTCTGAAGATGAGGGCTTTTGCCTCTTGTGTTCACTGATTTTATCTCCCGTGTCTGGGGCAGGGTGGGGCACATTCTAAGACCTTAGAAACGTTCGTTGAATGAATGGGTGATTTACATGTAGGGGAGAGTAAGTGCGTGGTCATAGCATCTGGCAGCAGGGTTGAGTTACAGTGATCAGGAGGAACTCAGACCGTCAATGCTAAGGTCTTGTGATCCTCATGCCTAATCTTTAGGAGGTGCTTCAGCTTCACAAGGAGGGACGCTGCGGCTTCAGTAGGGGCCACCTCTAAAAAGACGTCCTAGTCTGGGCACTTTGCAGTAGGATCTTCAGAAGGTAGAACCTAGTGAAAGGTCTTGGGGAAAATTAGGGTTCCAGCAACTCCCCCTCTCCCTTCACCTCCCAACTAACAAGGGCAAATAGCTTTCTCTGTCACATGTTTCCAACACAAGGCACTGCCTTGTCACAGTCCCAGAGGTAACAGGCTGAGCAACCATGGACTGAAACTTCTGAAAGTCAAAATAAACTTTTCCTCATCTTTAAACTTGATTGCCTCAAATACTGCGTCACAGTGATGGAAAACTGACCGAGAGGATAGCTTGGTGTGCTTTCAGATACCAAAGCAAGCTTTCCTTGGACCTCTGGGTAGGGATGCATTGTCTTCTTTTTCACAGCCTTAAAGAGAACAACAGCAAATGTTGATGAGGACCTGAGGAAACAGGAACCTTACACTCCTGGTGAGAATGTGAGCTGGAATAGCCAAGATGGAAATCCGTGTGACAACGGGGCTCGGCGCGGGTGGCTCAGTGCTAGAGCACTTGACCGGCATGTGGTCCTAGGCTCAACCCCCCCCCGTAAGCGGCAGCAAACCAACAGAAAATCAACATCAGAATGGAAGTTACTCATGCCACCCAGCTGTGCAACTCTTGGGTAGATACTCAAGTGACTGTGCGTCACCAGACCTCAGAGACACTTGCACAACCATGTTTACACTGCACTATGCTTAACATATAGGAAACGGAACCAGTCGAGATGCCTATCTACAGATGAATGGAGAAGGAAGCTGATATATAGACATGATGGAATTTTATTCAGCCACAAAGGAAAATGAAACAATTACATTTGCAGGAAAACAAAACTGAAAATCATGATGCAAAGTGAAATGAGCCCAACTCTGAAAGACAAATCTTGCATCTTTCCTTTCATAGGTGGAAACTAGACCTAAATATATATGCATGTGTGTATGTGTTTTATGTGCATGTGTGTACTCCTGGGTGTGTATGTGTGCGCATGTGTAAGTGTGTGTGTGTGTGTGTGTGTGTGTGTGTGTTATGAGACTAGAAAGGAGGCCATGAGAGGAGAGGAAGAGATCTTAGGGAAAGAACAAGAGAAAGAAAGGGTGATAGAATCCACGGGACAGGAAAGCAGAAAGAGAAACAGTTTGGGGGTTGAAGGAGGACCAATAAGAAGGGGTGGGCAAATAGACAGAGCATTGGGGTTGGGGACAAATAAGAACCAAGAGTAATGACACATGTGTATGAATATGTCATAAGGAAACTCATTATTTTGTATGTTAATTTGAAAAAGAATGCTAAGGCCTGAGTGTGGACAGGCAGAATGCGGGGAATGAGACCAAAGTAAAGCAAGGCTGAAAGTGAAGGCCCCAGTGATGGGGAAGTTGGAGTGAGCCTGAGTTACAGACTCTTCCTTTCTCTCGAGAACTTTCCAGCTTCCCATCACTGTGTGACATGAAGCTATCCCCACTCACCTTCGCATCTAACGAGCAGTGCACACATTTCTGGATCTGTCCTCTGTCTGGGAGTGAACTATGAGCCACTTACTCACAGGCCAGGTGTCATGATGTGACTCCAAGGCATCTAGCTGCAGAGGGCCAGGTCTCAGCAGGAGGGTGACAACTGATGTGACTCTCAGCTGCAGCCATGCCCCTGCAACCCCACTCACTCCAAATGGCCTCCAGCAGTTCGGGAGAGGCCTCATTGGAAAGCCCTTTCATCCGGGTTCTCACTGCACTGGTCCGTGCTGCTTCCCTTTCTGCCGGGCTGCCGTGATGCTGGGAGCTTAATGCTCAATCCTGCTTATCTGGACTCTCTTCTTTCTATATTTTCTTACTAGTCTTCTCAATATCTAGTCTGTCTTTCTAGTACACTTTCTGTATCACGTGTGTCAGACACGTCATTGATAATGCAAAGGATGTGCCTAAATCAGAGACGTCGACTGGTCCCCAGTTACTGTGGCCACACGGAGTAGTCGGCCTGAGGTCAGTTCATACATTTTTTCCCCCAGCTCTTTTTTTTTTTTTTTTTTTGGTTTTTACGAGACAGGGTTTCTCTGTATTGTTTCGGAGGCTATCGGTCCAGCCTGGCCTCGAACGCAGAAAGATCCGCCTGCCTCTGCCTCCCGAGTGCTGGGATTAAAGGCGTGCGCCACCACCGCCCGGCTTCCCCCCAGCTCTTTAAGGTTCCGATTCTATGATCCTTATCTTCAAACTGCACTCTTCTCCTCTCCCTCTGTCCGCCACTCCAAGGCCAGGCAACTGTCCACTTCCTGTCTTCATCTCCATCCTCCACGTGAGGCTAAGCCTGACTTCCTCACAGTGTCTCCCTCCCGACCATGACCCACACATCCTTGCACAGGGATTTCTTCTGGGGTTTTCCCTGAGCAGAGTCAGCTGTGCCAAGTGTCCCAGCACTAACTGCTCCCTCCTGGCGGCTGCTTGTAACACTCTTGAGTTTCCCCAGGAGGGATGGTCACAGCAGTCGGGCATTCAGCAACAGTCCCTCTCTGTCCCACTCTGCTCCCAGTTTCCTTTCCTGCTGATAACACTCCAGCTCCCATGTTCCTCAAATCATCTCATAGTGCTCTATCCATCAGCAAAAATGCTGAGCTCTTCTCAAAGATGGCACAAAGAGCAAACAGAAAACCGACGCCCACCACGCACTGTGTGTTTCCCTTCGGGTCACTAGTCTCTGCCCTACTTCAGTGGAGGGGCTTGTCACCAGTGCTAGTGACAACTGTCTTCGGGGGTCAGATCTCTGGCGATCTCACATTTGTGCTCTGGAAACTGTTACCTACTCAGAGAAGTTATGCCAGAAGCCGAGGGGGTGGGGAGGCAGAGCTCGGCTTCTGACGTCACCCTCTTATTATCAGTGGAAGCAGGCTTCACTTAGCACCCTTATCTAAGGCAGCTTGGAGGACAGCTGGCTCAAAGGCACCTGGAAATCAAAAGTGGGATACTGGGAGAGGAAGAGGCGAAACAACTTCTCAGTTTCTCGGAGGCTGACAGAGGTTCCTGAGACAGACTTCAGAAACGTCGTTCCAGCTGGCCCTTGAAAGCCGTGCCTGGAAGGGGAGAGCCTCCGAGGGATAAACAGAGTGTTCTCCAGCTCCTCGGGGTCAGGAGCAGTCTGCTCAGAAGGAAGTGCTGTTTCCCTGACCCCGGTGTTCCCACAGCCCCCTGGATGGCAGATCATGGGGCTGTGCCCCTCCCCACCCTTGGGAACTCTATCTTTATCTCACCAGTTTGTCCGCGTGCTTGACCAGTGGGGTTTCACTTTTGCAAACATCTGTTTATATCCCTTGAGAGAAAAATATCAAGCGGCCTGCCCCAAGAACGCTGTTTCGCTGTTTCATTTCAAGCGGTGAGCAAGGTAAGGAAACTTTTTTTTTAATAGCTGGGAAGTAGGAGGGGCACCAACTTCGCTGGTTGTTTTTAACTCTTTGTTTTCTTAGATCCTATCTCCTATTAAGCAAGTCCCATTTTTTACCAAAAGGATTTAACGGACTTGTAGTGTTTCTGCCTCCTTTTGTGCCGGGCATATCTGTCCCAGTGCCAGCTTAGCCCCTGGGTGTTGTAGATTACTATTTTAAGGTGTGCTATGGGTACTTAATGAGCAGACTGAGCAGAGCGGCCACTCTGGGGAGTGGGGACCACACTTACTTTCAATCTTTCGCGGAGGATGGAGGGGAAACATAATCTCTGGTTTCCCCACAGGGCAGCCCAAGATGGATAGTTACACAGTGGCCCCCGAGGATGACTATGATGTCCTCATACAGGATGACCTGGACAGCCATGAGATGGAGCAAGCCCTCACCCCCGAGCTCCTCTCCGCCCAGCAGGTACTGCAGTTCTGCTGCTCTGTATTTGCGGTGGGTCTCCTGGACAACGCGCTGGCTGTGTTTATCCTGGTGAAATACAAAGGACTCAAGAATGTGGGGAACATCTACTTTCTAAACCTGGCAGTTTCGAATTTGTGTTTCCTGCTTCCCCTGCCGTTCTGGGCACACACTGCCACACATGGGGGAAGCCCTGGCAATGCGACTTGTAACGTTCTTGTTGGACTCCACTCCACGGGCTTATACAGCGAGACACTTTTCAACATCCTTCTTCTTGTGCTAGGGTACAAGTTGTTTTCCCAAGGGACGCTGTCATCCACCTTCATGACAGTGCCCGGTGGTGTTGTTACAAGTATCCTGGCATGGACCATGGCTATTGCACTTAGTTTGCCTGAATCTGTGTTTTACCAGCCGCGGATGGAAAGACAGAAACACAAGTGTGCCTTTGGCAAACCTCACTTTTTGCTAGTTGAAGAGCCATTCTGGAAGTATTTTCTGACTTCAAAGATGAACATTTTGGTTCTTGGTTTTCCTCTGGTGGTTTTTATACTCTGCTGTGGGCAAATGAGGAAAACGCAGGCCTTCAGGGAGAGGCAGAATGATCTTCGAAAGCTTGGTTTTGTCATAATGGCTGTGTTCCTTTTGATGTGGGCACCCTACAATATTGTGCTCTTCCTGTCCGAGTTCCAGGAACACTTGTCCCTGCAGGATGAAAAGAGCAGCTACCTCCTGGATGCAAGTGTTCAGGTCACACAGCTCATTGCCATCACCCACTGTTGTGTTAACCCTCTCCTCTGTTTGCTTTTTGACAAGGCCTTCACGAGATATCTCTGCAGTCTGTTCCCACGGTGCAATGACACCCCATTTCAAAGTGGGGGGGACTCTCAGCGAGCAACGCCAAGAAGAGGGCATGACCAGCCCTTTGAACTCTACACTAGTTTGCATCAAAGGCAGGATATATAAACCTTGACCCTTGTCTCTTCAAATTATTTTGTGTAATTTTTTACATGTTTGTATAAAAATAGAACATAAGAAGAAAGAGGGCTGGTTAATGAATATTTACTAGTAAGCGTTGAGTTTGTCTCCGGCACGGGGCTAGGCTCGTTATAAAGGTGAACCTCACTCCTCCTCCTTACTTCTTGTCTACAGTGTGGGTACTCTTACTCCCATAGCCAAGAAAGAAACTGAGGGTCAGTGATTCATCCAAAGCTACGTAACTGCAAAATGGCAGAGTTGAAGAGCAAACCCCGACGTCACTTGTCCCAGAGCCAGCCAGGGGTGATGGCATATGTCTGTAATCCCAGCACTTTAGGAGGCTGGGGCAGGAAGATCCCCACAAATGCAACGGTAACCTGGGCCACATAGCAAGATCTCCCCAACCCCATTTTTTTGTTCAACAAATGAATATGTACTTTTAAAGCTCAGTTTGAAGGTTGGGGTGTAGTTCAGTTGGGAGGATGTCAGCCTTGCATTCCTAGTATGGTTGGGCACTTTTTTTGTTTTGTTTTGATTTTTGGGACACACTTTCTCTGTGTAGTCCTGGAAATCTCTTTGAAGTCCAGGCTGGCTGTGAACTCAGAGATTCCCTTGTCTCTGCCTCCTAAATCCTGGGATTAAAGTGTGTGACACCATGTCCAGCTCATCCGGCTCGGTGGTGCACATCTTAATTTCAGTTCAACTCTAGAAGGAAGGCAGGAAGATCAGAAGTTCAAGGTAATCCTTGACTACACAGTGAGTTCAAGGCCAGCTTGGGTCCATTAGACCCTGTCACACACATACACACACATACACACACACACACACACACACACACACACACACACACAATTAGAAGTAAATTTTCTTGTGGAAACAGTCTTCCAGGCACATGCTGCTTCGGGTCATGGGGAGAACTGGTCGCATAGAGGCTGTGGAAACCAAGGTCCTGTGGGGACACACTAGGCTCTCTTGACCGTCACTGTACCCAAGCTTCCCTGTGACTCTTCAAGGTTTTAGAATTACTTGCTGATGACTGTGTTATGAAGGCTGTGGTGTCTAAGGACATTTAACAAGAGTAGATGTAAAAGTATGCTTAGAAACATTGGATTATATCAGCACTGTGACCTTTGAAATACAACACATACCTTAGGCCTCATAAGCTTGTGACCACATGTAATTTCCCACTTCCTTTTGTAGCTGAGTTACACAGTACGGGCTTCCACTGGCCAGTCAGCAAGAGGCCAGCTCTTTGCCCAGGGTTACATCTCCAAGCACCTGAGATTTCGGAGTGACCCCTCTTTCTGCCTCTGGAGTTCAGAGCAGGCCTTCCACTCCATCTGGACTGAGGACTTGTGGTCACAGCTCTTCTTTTAAGGATAAGATGGGACCACAGACCTCAAAGTAAGTTGGAGGCCAGCACAGGCAGGTGAAGGGAATGAGGAGAGCATTCACCTAGGGGTTCTTCCTAGGACAAATGGTTCTCCCATGTCATAGGTGGATGACAGTTATCACCGTGACCGAAGGAGGGGAAAGGAAAGAAGGCCAGCACAGGGCTCGGTGAGGGAAGGCACTTGCTGACTAAGTCTGGTGGCCTGAGTTCAGTCTCTGGAACCTACATAAAGGTGGGAGGAGAGATCCAACCCTGAAAAGTTGTCTTCCAACGCCCACATGTGTGCTTGCTAATGCGCACACAGGCGTACAGGCACACATGCACAAACACCAGGCCACCCCATCACTACACACCACTAAGAGGTTTTTTATTTGGTTGGTTTTTTTTTTGGGGAGACAGGGTTTCTCTGTGTAGTTTTGGAGCCTGTCCTGGAACTCACTTTGTAGACCGGATTGGCCTTGAACTCAGAGAGACCCGCCTGCCTCTGCCTCCCGAGTGTTGGGATTAAAGGGGTGCACCACCACTGCCCAGCTACTAGAAGTTTTAAAAAGAAACTGATGGTGACATCTCCAAGTAACTAAAGTTGAATTTTTTTTTTTTTTTTGGTTTTTGAGACAGGGTTCCTTTGTAGCTTTGGAGGCTGTCCTGGAACTTGTTCTATAGACCAGGCTGGCCTCGAACTCACAGAGATCTGCTTGCCTCTGCCTCCCAACTGCTGTGATTAGAGGCGTGCACCACCAACGCCTGACTAAAATTGGAATTCTTGTACTCTGCCGGTGGGAGTATAAAATGACATTACCAGTTTGGAAAAAGATGAAAATTTCTTAAAAAGCTAAGTATACAGTTACCAATCATTCCACTTCTAAATGCTTACCCAAGAAAAGAGAAGATGAAAATGTACCAGTATACAGACCTGTACATGGACCTTCATGAAAGCTACATTTATATAGCCATAAAGTGCCACCCAAACTACCTCAACAGATGGATGGAGAAACAGTAGCAGACTATGGGATCATACAGCTTCATGCATGAAGTCCTAAAAGGCTGACTTCTGCTCAGTTAGACATTTTAATTCCCAATGTTTATTTAGATTTTTATTTCTATAAGAGTTTAGAAAACACAAACTAACCCTTAGTGGCTGAAGTCAGCGGTTGGTAAGGAGGCTTACACAGGAGGGTGTGGGATACATAACAAAGAGTACAAGGATGCTGAGGGGTCTAGTGGATATATTTGTTACCTGGATGCAGTCACTAGCTGTTACACGTGCCAAAGCCTACCAAATTGTATATTTTAAATATGTAAATATTTAAATATGTGCATCAAGTGTGGTTGATTTTAAAACCCTCTGAGGCACACCAGTGTGTTAGTGCAAGCTCTGTCTCAGAGCACAGCCTAGGGTCTTCTGCTTCTCAGCCTTCCACCACATGCTCAAATGGAGTTTCCAAGCAGCATAAGGGATGCCTGCCCATGGACCACACCAACCCATCCCTACCTCTGACTAGGATGGTGGAGAATGGGGATGGCACCCCATAGGGAGTGCAGTTGCAAGACAGAGACTTAGGGAGATATGCAAAGGAGTTTGGGTAGTCCAAACAAGGCTGGCTGAGAATATACTCTCTTTGCAACTTTAAGGAAGTAGGTCTGGTCCCCACCCACTTCTATTCTATGTTTAAGGAAATAGCATCATTGTCTGACACTTACTGACAGGGATGAACTCAAGGGACAGCCTTGTCAGGATTTCCAGAATGAAATTCAGAAAGTGGAAAGACCTGGAAACTCTAGTGGGAGCCGTAAGACAGACAGGCAGATGCTGAGAATCAAGAGTGGGATGTGGTGTCCTCAAAACTTGAATACAGCAACACCTTCCTTCTGTGTCAGACCAAGCAGATTGTTCCCTAAAGGTTAAAGCAATGCTTGAGGACCAGTGAGATGGCTCACAGTACTTACTTTCAAGCCTGATGACCAGAGTTGGGTCCCTGGGATCCACAGGGTGGAAGGAGAGAGCCAGCTCCCACAATTTGTCCTCTGACCTCTATTTGTGTACTTTGGCAGGCACACACTCTCTTACACACACACACACACACACACACACACACACACACACATTAAAAAACACTAGCTTTTCTATTTTTCTACAAATACTGTAATAAAGACTAACAAACAGTAGAAAACAAACATAAAATGGCTAGTATAGTTTTTTGTTGTTTTTTAAGGATAGTTCTTCTGTTTTGCTTGCAAGTTACTTGCCAGTGGGAGAAAGCGCTGGCTGGCTCTGTCTATAAGGAAGGCTTGTCACTTTGGTACCATCTCAGAGTACTGCAGTAGGCATGGGTTGAGGGTATTGCCAGCCATCAGCCTTCAGTCTCCCCACAGCAGACACACAAACACAGACCTTGCAGTGTTTGGGGACTGAAATCCAGTCTTCCAGTTCTCCAGACCACAGGGCCTAGGAAAGGGACTACACATTCCCAGGAAAGGGTGTAGCCATCCTGGCAGGAATGAAGACATGTGTGCCTCTCTCCCTTTGGATATCAGACTACTGAAACAATGAAGGGAACTGGGATTTCCCAGAAGTGTCAGGATAGAGAAGGAGGAGCTGGTGTCAGCTAAGTGGGGAGCTTGTCCTCTGGGAAGAGATTTCACACAGTTCTGAACACTTCGTTAGACCACCTAGTAGGAGAGCCCTGGACTGGAGACAGTGATGATATCTGGGACCACACCTTGATCAGGTGTGGTTATATGGAACTCTTGCCCTCTTCTTAAACCTGAACCTTATGTCAGGACCCCAAGAACAGACTTGGGTGGAGGTATCACTGTACCACCAGGTATATTAGGACCAAATTCTGAGCCCTGACGGACCCCTAAAAAAACCAACTTGGTTTGCTTGAATTGTTCTCAACTTGTCTTCAACAAGTCAGTTAAACAAAGAAGCAATGGTAAGAAGCAGGAGAGAGGGGTGGAAGGGGGGAGACTTGATTGATATGGCTACAGTGGGAAGAAGAACAAAGAGATCTATGGCCTCCTTTGTCTCTCTGTCCTAATACGAAGTTTTGGTTTGAATAGAAGGCAAGGGGCATTCAGCAGGACAGTCTGGGTTAGACTGTAGCTCTGCCTATCACGGCTGTCCTAGCTTGCCTGTGCTGCAAGCCCCATTGTGCCTATCACGGCTGTCCTAGCTTGCCTGTGCTGCAAGCCCCATTGTGCCTATCACGGCTGTCCTAGCTTGCCTGTGCTGCAAGCCCCATTGTGCCTATCACGGCTGTCCTAGCTTGCCTGTGCTGCAAGCCCCATTGTGCCTATCACGGCTGTCCTAGCTTGCCTGTGCTGCAAGCCCCATTGTGCCTATCACGGTTGTCCTAGCTTGCCTGTGCTGCAAGCCCCATTGTGCCTATCACGGTTGTCCTAGCTTGCCTGTGCTGCAAGCCCCATTGTGCCTATCACGGCTGTCCTAGCTTGCCTGTGCTGCAAGCCCCATTGTGCCTATCACGGCTGTCCTAGCTTGCCTGTGCTGCAAGCCCCATTGTGCCTATCACGGCTGTCCTAGCTTGCCTGTGCTGCAAGCCCCATTGTGCCTATCACGGTTGTCCTAGCTTGCCTGTGCTGCAAGCCCCATTGTGCCTATCACGGCTGTCCTAGCTTACCTGTGCTGCAAGCCCCATTGTGCCTATCAC